CACCAACCCCCCACACACACCTCACACACCTCACAGCACCCACCTCACACCCATCACACAGCACCAACCCCTCACACACACACCTCACACACACAGCACACACCTTCACACATACCTGACAGCATCTAACCCTAACACACACCTACCCTTCATACACCCACCTCACAGCACACACCTCACACCCATCACACAGCACCAACTCCTCACACACATACCTCATAACACCATACACACACCTCTCACACCTACCTCACAGCACACACCTCACAGTACCCACCCCTCATATGCTCACCTCACACACACCTCACACCACCCACTCACACCCACTTCATAGCACACACCTCACACCCACCTCACAACCCCCACCCCCACCTCTCCATACCCCCCTCACAGCACACACCCCGCTAAACACTCATCTGTTGTCCTTACGCAGGAATCGCTCAGCTTCAGCTCTGCGCTCACTTGTGGTCCTCAGTTGTGGCACTTACTGTGTCCACTGTCATAGGGCCCCCCTCACTGTCTTGTTTCCCTTTTCTCAGGCCTCACTGTGTCCTATGCTATATATCTGGCCTCACCCTTGACTGCTGAAAACCCCATGTCTTTACCCCACAGGCTGCTGCCAGGTGGCAAAGGTGGCCATGGACCCCAGCGCCCTCCCAGACCTGTTGACCAGCATGCAGCAGTTCCGAGCACAGCTCTCAGGGACAACATACAGCAAAGACCTGGCCCCAGTCACCAGCATGGTGAGTCAGAGCTTCTGCAGGACAGCGTGGCCAGGCCTAGTTCCTGAGTCCCTGAGCCCAGTCAACTCTGGATGTGCAGGTGGACACATTGTGAGGTGGGCCTGTATTGGGCAGGTGGGACTTTGGGGAGACTTGGGGGTTAGTGGCTGGCCAGGTTCCTGTGTCGTCCAGAAGGAGGCTGGTTGGCCCAGCTTTGGGTCTTGCCCATCAGCTGTGACGGCTCTGAACTGAGTGGTCCTCTCAGGAGCCTTCTGATTCAGGCATTTGGATGGACACAGGTATCTGAAAACACTCCACTCCACGAGAAAGACAGTTCCCTTCGAAGATTCCACAGTGTTCTCAAGTCCCTGGAGAGATACCTGAAGCCTCTGTTCCCCCTGATGGCGTGTCCTGATGCCAGGTGCCCTCCCAGGGGGCTGCTGGTCTGAGGGGTGGAGTGGTTGCCTGGGCAGGAAGGGCTGGACTGGCCATGAGCTGAGAGCCCAGTGCCCACTTCTCTCTGGTGTGGGTGGCATGGACCCGCTGACGTGTGCTGGTGCCTGGTTTTGATGATTTCCTACTATTTGGTATCATGATACCACCTTGTACTCGGAATGCAGTTTTTCTGCTGAACTCACCCTGTCTGGTTGGAGTCTGCCCTTAGGGGCAGCCCCCTTCTGCTGTCCCTAGTTTCTTCCTGGGCCCGGGATCAAACAGGAGTGGGAGGTCTGAGGATCCCAGGCCCCTGGCTCAGGTGTTGGGGGTGGGGACATTTAAGGTAAGAAAAGAGGACAGTGACAGGTGAGCACAGCCCTTCATTCCAAGTGGCCTCGCAGCACAAGCATGAAGCCCCAGTGAAGGGCATCTTGGTTGATGAACACATGCAGCTGGAATCTGCCTTTTAAACCTGAACACATGCTTTTCTGAATTCCAGAATACAGACCTCAGCATTCATCCCAGATCCAGGGAAGTCCAAGGGCAAAGACAAGGAGAAGAGACCATCTCAGACACCAGGTGCGTCTGGAGGGCTTGGGCCACCAACGTGGAACTCCTCAGTGAGGGACGTTACCCTGGGCACTTCCTGTGTGGGCTGAGGTGGTCATGGCACAGATGGCCTTCACAATAGGGTGTGTCAGCAGTGGTGAGCCAACACAGTGGCAGGGACAGAGTGTGGTGGCCCCCAGGACCTCATCCCTCCCCTGAGGGTCACTGAAGCGTGAGGGTTCCACAGAGTGGGGGATTTCCCCTAGAGATGACTCTGTGTCCACCGTGACAGGTGCTCTTGGTAAGAGGCTGTGTAACCCGTCCATATCTGACATGGCAAAGTACCACAGATGGTACATGCCTTGAGGCCTAGGGCAAGCAGGCTGAGGTCTGATTTCCTTCCCCTCCAAGATGGACTAGATAAAGCCTGTACCTGGGCTGGCCCTCTGTGTGTAGTCATGCACTCGTGTATGTATACGTGTGTGCATACATGTTCACGTGTGGATAGAGACATGGTGCGTTGTGTGGACACATGCACATGTGTGTACACATGTATGTGTGTGTTCATCTGGGTGTAGATGCATTTTTGTGCTCATGTGTGAACATGTGTCATAGGCATATGTATACACACATGTATGTGTACATATGAGCACACACATACAAATTCATGTGTATGCATTTAGGGTACACGTGTACGCACATATGCACTTCTGTGGCAGAGGGTAGGATAACACACTGGCACATGTGTGCACATATATGTATTTACATGTGTGTGCAGGTGTGTGGACACATATACATCTGTGTACTCCCATGTGTGTACATAGATATCTACACTGTGTGTGCATTAATGCATGAGTGTGTGCATGTGTACTTTGGTGTGCACATGTGTGTGCATATGTGTGCATGCATATGTATTGTGTGTGCATGTGCACCTGCTTATGCATGGGGATGACCACAGGAGGTAGGCTCTTGTGTGCATGCACATGTGTATTTGTGCATGCATGTGGTCATTTGTGTGCATGTGTGTGATAATGTGTGCATGTATACTTGTGTACACATGAGGTGCTCATATGTCCATCTGTGTGTGTGCAGAAGTGTATATGTATGTATGTGTTTGGGCATGGGATTCTCATGTGGCGTGTGTGTGCACTACATGTGCAAGCATGTGTGTGTATTCATGGAGTGCTTATTTGTGCATCCAAACATGTGCATAGTTTTACATATATGTTACTGTGCATATGTGTGTGCTTGTTTGCATGATGCACTTGTGTGGACATATGTATACATTTATGCATGTACATGTATGTGTGGGTGCATGTGCACACAGTCTGCTTGTGTGTGGACATATGTACATGTTTGTGCACATACATGCCTGTGGGGGGTGAATGTGCATGCATTCTTCTTGTGTGTGGACATACATACACATGTATGCATGTACATGCATGTGCACACAGTCTGCTTGTGTGTGGTTGTATGTACGCATTTGTGCGTGTACATGCATCTATGTGGGTGCATGTGCACACAGTCTGCTTGTGTGTGGACATATGTACACGTTTATGCATGTACATGCCTGCGCGTGGCTGCATGTGCACACACAGTCTTGGGCATGCAGTGACTAGCTTCTATTTCAGTCACTGCTACTCACTTGTCCACAGCTCCGCCTGAGGCTGCAGATAACATCATCCTGATTGTGGACCAGCACCTCCTGGAGCTGCCCTTGGAAGGTCTCTCTGTGTTCAATGATGAGTCTGTGTCCTCTGTGTCTCGAGACTTTTCTCTCCAGATGCTGATGAATCGCCTCTACAAGGAGGAGACAGGTAAGAATTGTCCTTGGTCACATCTGCGTTTAATTCTAAAATGGAAACAAGTCATAAAAATCCCCCTCAAATTCATTGCTGTTGAGTCAGAATGGACTCACCTGATTTCCAGTGGGTTTTCAGAAGCTATAAATTGCACTGAGATGATTACTCATATTATCCTGCAAAGCAGCTGGTGGATTTGAAACTCCTGCCTTTGAGTTTGCAGTACAACTCCTTACCCACCAGGACACCAGAGCTCCGTTGTTCTTACGATTAAGAGGGTGTTAACTCCTGTCACAGAAATCAATCTTGGGTGCTGCAGCCCGCTCCAGGCATGATCCTGCAGAAGTTTCCAGGGCATCTGCTGTGTGCAAAGTGCTCCCGTTGGCTAAGCAAGCAGTGAGCAAAGAGCCAGGCCTGTTCTTACCACACAGAACTTCTATCCCCAGGAAGGTCCAGAAGGGAGCCTTGCACTGTCTCGTTAGGAGTCAGGCCCAGGAGGATAGGCTTCATGCTGTCTCACTGGGTTCTGGAAACACAGGGTCCCAGTCTGCGAAAACTTCCCAAGCTACGTGCCTACAGATGGACTGTTTTCTACGTGTGCTGCACTTCTCCAGGAGACTTCAATTCAGAACAAATGAACAGACTTCTGCTTCCAGCAAGGAGCAAGGATCAGATATATTCTTCTAACTGAAACAACTGGAAAATAGTGTGAAAGGACCTTTTTCAGACTTTAGACGCCAGACCATGAAGGGCAGTGGGACTGGGAGGAGATACAAGGGGCCGTCACTGCTCCCTGGTGACTGGAGGTACTTCGAGGGCCCAACAGAGAAGGAGACCAGGAAGCCTACCTGAGGGAGGAGTCACAGCTGAGATCAAAGGGCAGAGGGTGACAGAGAGATAGGAGTCAGCTCTGAGGAGCCCAGTCTCCAGCTGTCTGACTGTCTGTGTCCAGTGTGAAGGGAAGCTGGAAGGCTGGAGAAGCCCGAGGGAGCTTCATCCACGGGCACAGTATCGTAGCCAGAAGGGTGGCCCTCAGTCCTGGGCACCTGTGCCAGTCTCACATGTGGCGCTCAATGGCAACCCTCAGAAGGATCCACCTGTTCTCAGGAAGCTTGCTGTAGGTGCCATGGAGTCAGGAATGACTCATCGTGACCCTCTGAACCCTGGAACTCCTCATTCGCTCTGACGCACTGAACTCACCGTGGCAATCCGTCTCACTGAGGGTCTTCCTCTCCTTCGCGGACTCTCCACCTTTCCAAGCACAGTGTCCTTTCCAAAGGATAGTCTCACCTCGCTACATATCTGAAGCGTGAGAGACGAAGCTTAACCGAGAACAAAACTTGAGAACGTTTATAGTAAACTTCACGTCTGACAGTTGATAAATTGCCAAGCACACAAAGAAGCCAGAAACGTTGACTCATGATGAAGGGACATCACTCAGCAGGGTCAGACCCAGAAATGACCATGGTCCTGGAGCTGGTCAGTTACAACCGCATTCCCAAGGCTGGAGGCTGGTGGGCTGGGGATGCCCCCTCTGCTGTGCAAAGGTCAGTGCATGATCAGTCCTTCTGAGGCTTTGTTGCCAGCATGGTAGTGTGGCATTGTTGCTATTTCTACTTTACACTTGTTCTCATTCTTTCTTGTCCCCGCCTTTGCCAGAAGGCACAGTGAAAAAGGACACCAAGATCAAAGAGGCCAAGAAGAGAACTGTTGCCAGAAGGGGCAAGGAGGTAAGAGCCCTCAGGCTGATGGCCCACCAGCAGACGGCTCAGTCCAGGCCCAGGGCTCTGGGGCCAGCTGGGAGCCATCTCCCCTGATCTTCTCTTTGGCTTAGGGAAATGTGCACCGGGTCCTGCCCCCAGACAGCATCATGGTAGATTCAGACAACTTCAAGTGTATCCTTTTCCAGCCTGAGGACTTGTATCTCCAATGTCCTCATGTCCCCAACACCCATGTACCCCGACATTCCTGCCTTTCTCTCCTTGACTGAGGCCCAGTCATTGTGGACCCTTATGAGGAGGCCCAGACTATTGGTGAGTGTTTCCCTCAGGTTCTGTCCACTTCCACTGCCCACCAAAGTGAGCCCCACACCCCCCACACCCACCACAGTGAGCCCCGCCCCCACCCCCCACAGTGGGCCCCCTGGCCTTGCACCCCCACATGTTCCTCTGGGACCAAGACCCTGCATGGCCACCACCTTGCCACTGCTGCCGCTAACCTTCCTGTTAGTCACCTTGTCCTTCTGCTAAGGTGGTTTCCAACTCCGCGAAGGAGGGGGAGGAGCAGTGATGCTCCTTCCAGTCAGACACCCAGGTGGCTGTGGCTGAGGTCACCGCCCTCCTGGACACAGCTGCCGCACCAACCTGGACACGCAAACCTGCACACTCTCCCCAAGCGCCTCGGAGCCAAGTGTGCTCAGTGACGTCCTTCAACTGTCCCTGCAGGAGTGCTGACTCCTGTCCTCGTGACCCGGGCAATTCTAGAAAGATTCCAAGACTCGTTCACTGCCCGATGGGTTGGACACCTGGGAAACAAGTACTTTCCAAGGTTCGAGATCTGTGCTGGGCCGAGGAGTGGAGGGGAAGCTCATAGGTCCCTTTCTGTGGACATGCCTCTTCTGAGGGCACTTTGCAGATGTCCCACCTCAGCCTTGGCCTCTCCCCATATCTTGACCCCACCCATTGTGGATGCAGGGCCCCTTGAGATGAGTACCTTCCCCCACTGTATGTGCAGCACTGCCTGAGGTGGACGGGCCTCCCTGACTGTGGTGTGCAGTCCCCTGAGATGGATGCCCCTCCCCCACTGAGGGTCACAGTGATGTGTGTCCCCTCCCCCACTGCAGGTCACAGTGACATGGGACCCCTCCCCCACCGTGGGTCACGGTGACATGGGACCCCTCCCCCACTGCGGGTCACAGTGACGTGTGTCCCCTCCCCCACTGCGGGTCACGGTGACGTGTGCCCCCTCCCCCACCGTGGGTCATGATGATGTGGGGTCCCCTCTCCCACTGCAGCCAGGCAGAGTGGGAGCACCTGCTTGGCACCTGCCAAGGTTTCTTCTTCTATGGGATGGAGAGCTTCCTGTCACATACTCTGGTGGAGCGTCTGGCCGCCATGGACCTGCAAGGTGAGGTGGGCCCAGCTCCTCTCTCCCCTCCAACTGCCCTTCCTTCCTACTGCCCAGCTTGAGCAGGGTCAGGGTCAGAGTATAGGGTCATAGGGTCACCCCACTAGGCTGTGTCCAGGAAGGATGGGAGGTGCTGGGGGCATGCTGGTCCATCCGGTCAGTTATTGGGGTTTAAGTCCACAAGGGACCTCTGATGCTGCCAGTTCTGCGTCATATGCAGGATGGCGCCAGGCCAAAGTGGGTGCTTGGCCACACTTTCCTGTGTGCAATGTGGATCGGGGCCCGACAGGGTGCCCACTTAGTTCTGTCCCCTCCTGTGACAGGACCCCTCTCACCATCCCCCATACAGAGTGCCACATGATGCTGCTTCTGGACTCGATGCGTTCTTCGGAAAGCATCCGCAGGCATTCGGAGCTGTCAGAGAGCAGAGGGTACAGTGTCCAACAGGGCTGGGCCACTGTAGAAGGGTGTCCTCCGCGAGCCTGCGAATGGGGTCAGCAGGGCTGGAGACGGTGGGAGCGGCTCATGGCTGGCTGAGGAGCTCAGGCTGGACCCGGGAAGGGGAAGCCATGGTAGACACTGACTTCCGAGTTCCATGGGGTAGGTCCTGACCCTCAGCCTGTGGCTGGAGGGATGCCGTGACACCCCAGTTTGTTCATGTGGCATGTTAAGGGACTTCACAGGGGGTCAGGGAACTGAGTGGGGAGGGGGAGGTCTGGGATGGCCCTGGCACTAGCCCATCTGCTCTGCCCCCACAGTGTCCACCAGCGGACCCTGGAGGGCCCCATCCAGACCGCTGTTGTCCTGAGCCTAGTGGGTGTGAAAAGTATCCTGTCCAACCAGTGGTCCACGATCCTGCAAGACAACGCCGTGCGGGGCCTCGTGCTGTGGGAGAGTAAGTGGTCCCAGCAGGTAGACCCCACCTGGTGCCGCCCCAGCCCTCTGGACGCATTTCTTCCCTTCAGATCTGCTGGCCAGAGGGATGCTGACTGGGAGAGCGGTCCGCTACCTCCAGAAGATGAAAAGTGAGGACATGACCATCCAGGGTAAGACTTTGGCACTGCTATTTCACACTCACTGTCACCATGTGCCCACCGTCACCTCCCACTCCACTGTTCCTCACACCTCACGGAACACGAGCAAGTCACATCCAACTGTCAGCAAACATTTGCTGTCACATCATTGTCACCAGATGCCAATGACTGTGCACTTTGCTGCCACAACATTTACCACTCTGTCACCATGTGCAACACTACCACTCCATGCCCATCTGTTACCATGAGCCAGGGAGGGAGTGACTGAATGAGTGAATGAATGAATGAGTGAGTGAGGGAGTGAATGAATGAGTGAGTGAATGAATGAGTGAGTGAGGGAGTGAATGAATGAGTGAGTGAATGAATGAGGGAGGGAGTGACTGAATGAGTGAATGAATGAATGAGTGAGTGACTGAATGAGGGAGTGAATGAATGAATGAGGGAGAAAGGGAGTAAATGAATGAGTGAGAGAGTGAGTGAGTGAATGAATGAGTGAGAGAGTGAATGAGTGAGTGGGTGAATGAATGAGGGAGGGAGAGAATGAGTGAATGAGTGAGGGAGGGAGTGGGTGGGTGAGGGAGGGAGGGAGGGAAGGAGGGAGGGAGTAGGTGAGTGAGTGAAGATGTGTCAGGAAGATGACAAAGGTGGGGCGAGCCCAGAGCCCATCCTCAGGACCCCTGGGCAGACAGGGCCAGGTCAGCACTCTCTGATGATGGGCAGAAACCTGTGATAGGACAGGACGGGGCAGTGGGGAGGCCCATGGCAGGTGGCTTCTTCACAGGACAGATGCACTAGGTGTCTACTCTGGTCACTGTGCCCAGGTGAATGGTCAGGGTCAGCTGCTACAGGGGCTGGAAGTCATCTGCCCTCTTCTCTGGGCTGGGGCAGGCAGCTGTGGGTTGGGAAGGGCTCCCAGAGACGGGTCAGAGCCTATAGTCTTGGGGGGACAGGGAAGTGGCCCTCTTCCTGACAGCTGTCCTCTTTCCCAGACCAGTCCCCTGAGACCGCCAAGGACGTGTGGTTGTCCATGCAGCAGCAGCAGCCCCACAGGACAGAGTGGAACCCCAGCACCCTGAACCTGGTGCTGTATGGGCTGCCTCACCAGGCCATCTGGTGACCAGGCTCAGGACAGCCTGGGCTCTCATGTCCTCACCTTCAGCTCCCACAGTGCAATGGGTTCTCTGGTCCTGGAGTGGGGAGCAGTGAGGACCCCGACACTAGCTCCCAGAGTGTGGAAGGCAGAGACACTCGGGAAGATGAGCAGGCTCCTAACACTTTAACTGGGGCTCAGGCCCCCCCTTCAGAGGCCCAGCCCTGACAGAATTGCCACAGCAGCTAGGGACAGTGGAAAATCAGGGTTAGTTTTCAGTTTCAATAAAGAGACAAATGAAGGGGTGGTGTGTCTTGATGGCTCCCTAGGACAGTTAGGGCCTCCACATGCTGACCTTTGGGAGACACTGACCATATCACTCTCCATCACAGCCCCAGTCATACTCCCCAAGAATGCCCCCAGAGTTATACTCTCACAGTCACACACCTGCAGTCACACGCCCACAGTCATACACTCCACAGTTACCCCCCCACAGTCACCTGCCCCCTGTCATCTTGCCTCACCTGGCCTTCTCTACTCAGGGTACCAGGCCAGCTCTGTCAGCCCTTTGTCCACTGCATCTCAGTGGTCTCCCTGCTATTGACCCATCTCCATTTCCAGCGTTGGCAGTCACTGGTGGAGGGAGCGGAGGGCCCGCGGAGCTCAGCAAAATCACTCTTCCTGGAGAATGGCTGAGAATGATACAGAGAATATGTGTGGCCTTGAGTCTGTTCCCCAGACACAAATGGGGCATCCAGGAAGATGACTGGGTACAGGACATGGGGCTGTGCCAAACACTAAAACACCAGCACCACAGACAAGATGAGCTCCAGGAGTGATTACACTCAGTGGCCTTTCCAGGCCCACCTGGCCCCAGGCCACCTTGACCCCAGGTCCGCACAGTTTCTAAGTCAGGCATGGCCTTCTTGAGCCTGGGACTCAGAACTGAGGTGAGGTGTGGGCATAAGGCCCAGGAGGTGTGGGAAACGTGGCTAGAAAGTGTCCTTGCCCCAACCTCACACCAAAGCCTGATCTGTAAGCTACAGGAGGTGAGGGCATTCACCGGCCCAGCACAGAGTCAGGCCACACACCATCCAGTCACTCACTGGGAAGGAAGTGGGGTACCCAGGTCTGCTAGATGCTGTCAAGTATTCAGAGGACAGTTTGGTAACATCTGAGAAAACACCCTCATGCTGAATTGTCCACCTGGGCGCACTCTTGAACACTGTCTGTGACACTCAGGTGCAAGCTTTATGGGAACTAAAGCTTTTGTTCTCAGGAAAGATGCCCCAATGGCTCCTGGGTCATCAGTGACCATATGTCAGATCAGCTATGACTCTGCTCCTGGTTATGCCAGCTCACTGGGGCAAAAGGACACAGAGCCCCTCAGGACTTGTGTGCACATGAACACACATGCATGTACACATGCACACACGCATGTGTATACACACAAGAGTGCACACAGGCAGACGTACTGATGCACACACAAATACATGCACGGGCACACAGAGACGTGCATATACACACGAATGTGTATACAGGCAGGTATACCTACATGTGTGCACACACGCCACTGTATACATACATGCACACAACATGTACACCTGCACACCAACACATATATACACATGGCATTCAAGCATGTGTGCATCGACACATGTATACATAGACGCATGTGCACATGCATATATACACATCCACACAGACACACACTTGCACGCACATACATATATAAATATCAACATAGATACGTTGTTGTGTACTGTAGAGTCAGAACTGACTCATAGCTGACTCTCCAGCAGGTTTTCCAAGGCAGAAATCACACGAGAAGAGATTGTCCATCCTTCTCCCGCAGAGCAGCTGGTGGCCTCAAACCACGTATCTTCCGAATTGCAGAGTAATAACACCACACACACACACACACACACACACACACACACACACACCCCAGCTTGCTGGAGTGAAAGCACACAGAGCCCCTCCTGGACACACACATGCAAATATACATACATGCACACACATAAATACCCCAGCTATACACACAGGCATGTACACATAGACACAAGCACACAATACACATGTGCACACACATATCCACAGGCACATACACAAACACCTCTGTACACACGTGCACACATGCACACACAGATGCAAATGCATATATACACTCATACACAGAGACACAAACACATTAACACACAAATGTATACAAATGTGTGCATCATGTGTACATGGGGGTGCACACATAGACCTGTGCACTCGTAATTGTATATTCATGCATACACACATGCACACCGACCTACATGTGCATGTATACATTCCCGTGTAGACACACGCGGTGGTGTGTGCATAGACACGGCATACAGAAATATGCACATGGACATACAACATGCTTAGGCATATATTCGTTCACACAAATACACACATGAACAGACACTGGGGAAAAGGGAACACGGTGTGTGATGCCCCATCGGCCACTGCACACGCTGCTGTCCTTCAGAAGCGGCTGCAGCTCACTCACCCTGGAAACGTTGATAACTAACGGTCTCTACAAAGCAGAGGGTCCATGAAACCGGGGCAAACCCAGTGAGACGGACAGGCCCTGCCGTGGCCTCGTGGGGCCTTTGGGCGGCTGGCCTGCCGTCCACCACGCGGAGGTGAGGCCTCTCAGTGGCCAACAGCCACACAGCCTTGCAGGACACAGGGACAGAGTCGCTAGAGGCCCACACTCACCACTCGCAGCACCATTCCTGTGACTTCTGGTGACTCCATAACTGAATACTTTTTTGAAGTATATCTTGGATGATATTGAAAGATTCAAATTCTCTTTTTTGTTTTAAGATGTTTTCTTTTTTTAAAAAAATACTTAAAGTTGTTCTAGTTTTAATAAAAAAGAAAGGAAACGAAGGCTTTAACTAATGGCCAGGAAATAAATTCCGACCGAGCTGCGAGCTTTCTGCGAGAAAGATGTTGGCACCCACCCAAACAACAAGAATAAAAGCTTCTGGAAATATTTCATCTCCACAGCGGGCCATCTTTTACCTTCTGCTGTGTCCACTCGTGAGAAATATGAAACAGCAAACGCTGCCCCAGGACCACAGGCGCTAAAATAACTTTCTGAATTATGTCCCAGCAACATAACAAATCACATTATCAATTAGCTTCTGTAACAGAAGTGGCATTTTGTAATATATTCAAACGTGAAAAAATTGTTGAGGTGAAATTTATGTAACCCTCAAAACATAAGAAAGGGAATTTATTGGTAATAACAAGGGGCGGTGTCATTCCCTCCGCGGCACACTATGGCCACTGGCCCGAGGGCACACAGGGCTGGGGGCCAGCCTCCCACACAGAGCACCCACAGGGTTCTGGAAGATGCCCAGGTCTAAGGCCTCAGCATCCTGGACACCAGCGACCTTGAGTGCTGGTGGGATGTGGAGTCCGAGCTCTGTCCTCTCTACCAGGAGATGTCACCAGCATGTCCCTGTGGGTGAGGCTGGGCTCTGACTAGAATCTGGTCTGGTCAGGTCCAAACTGCCACAGTGGCCCCACTGCACCCTGAACAGAGTCCATCACACCCCTGGCATCAAGCCAGTGCCTCCTGACACCCAGCTGTGCCCAGTCCTATCCTCCCAGGGACTTTTCAAAATGCCAGCTTGCTTTATTTTTATTTTGAAAATAGCAATGTTTCATTTTATAAGCCAAAGCCTAGTCAAGGACTCTGATGACAACATAGAAGGGGACCAATGTGTCTGTGCCCCCAAATCACACGTGGAGAAATGTGGAATCTGCCAATGTCAGAGACCCTTTCCACAAAGAAGATTTTAAAGCAAAATGTTATGGTCAGAAAGTTGGGTAGAGTCCAGGAGACAGGAAACAGTTCTGCCCTGCCCCCTGAGAAGTGGCCTGTTCTCTCACTTCCAGATTCTTCCATCAGCACAGCGTTAAGGTCTTTTACCCCAAAGCAGGGCGCCTGCAAGCACAGACCACAGAGAAGCTGGCTGAGTCACACACATTCCCCACTTCCACCCTGCTCTTGACACCACCGCCCCAGCCCTCACCTCTATCCCCAGGCCTCAGGGAGCACTCTCACCCCTGCCCCCAGGCCTCAGGGAGCACTCTCACCCCTGTCCCCAGGCCTCAGGGAGCACCCCCTCCCCCGCCCCCACCCTCACCTCTGTCCCCAGACAAGTGCCCCTCACCTCCTACTTCACCACCAGACCCAGGGTGCCCGCCCCATTGTTCCTAGACCACAGGAAGCACCCCCACCTCACCCTGATCCTCACACCACAGGGAACCTTCTCAGGGAGGCAGCCACTCCCAGTGGGGAGCAGGGAGTGGTACCTGGAAATGGCCACCTGGTCAGCTGGTTAGAACTGCCGGCCACCACCCTAGGAACCCAGGGCTGAAGCCTCTCCTGTGGGTCCTGGCCATGGCCCCTGCAGAGGGCTGAGGACATGGGTCCCTGTGGGCACACTACCTGCTTCCTCACAGCCCTCGAAGGTGACAGGGCCCAGCCAAGGTCCCCAAAGTCAGTGAACCCCTGCCCAGCTCCCTCCCAACCCCCAACCTCCCCACCTGGCTGGGTTTCTGGGGGCAGCCCTGGGCATAGCTGGTCTGCCTTGACCCTGCCTGCTTGCACCTGACATGGGCTCCACCTCAGATTCTCCCGAGTCTCCAGGTGACTCAGAACACTTTGGGGGGTGGTATCCCTACCCCCACTTCTCTCCCTGGCTCCCCTCCCCCTTCCAGCTGAGCCCCTGGTCCACTCACAGCCACCAGAGGCGAGAACAACTTGGGTTAATAAAACAGAAACAATTCTGATCATTTGTATATAAATTTCTATTAAGTTGCCTCGTCCCAGCTAGTCTCTAATAGTTTAATTTCACCATTAAATAATTAAAAGTCTATCTTCAATTGCTGTGAACAATTGTTTTCTTTAATGATCTCCTCAGAGAAGCCGGCAGCTTCCTATCTTGTAAAAATGATGAAATGTTGTCATTATCCCATCTCTCCGAAATGGAACCAGCGGCTTGGAGTCCATCGTACGTGTTCAATTAACGCTGGGCGCATTAGCCCGCCACATGGCCTCCCTCCGCGTGACCCACGTCCTCTGGTCAGCTTTATTATGACTGTGATGAAGACAGAGAGAAGCCTGTTAATTACCCCGCTTCCAACAGAGGAATCACTCTCCACACACCTTCCCTTCAAGAAAGAAAGAGGTCAAGGCTCCCAGGGAGGGCAGGCTGAGCTACGCACTGCTGCTTCGAGCTGTGGGCCCAGGGCCACTCCCTAGCCCGACCTGAGGCCCAGAGCCCGGACCCTCTGGTGACAGGAGTTGGGCTGGGCCTGAGCTGGGCAGAGGAGACCCTTCTTCCTAGCTAGAGCCCTCTGTTTGGACAAAACCCATGACGTGAGCCCTGGGCCCCACAGCTTCAGAGTCCCACTGACTGATTTCTCAGAAGCAGGTGGCCAGCCCTGTATCCCAAGGGCCAGCTGGTAGAACTGACCCTCCACTTTGAGTCACTGGCTGATCAAGTTGGAGACCACCGTCCTCACTGGGTCCTCTTCCCAGAAGCTACCATGGCCACACAGAGCCAGCCCACCACTTGCCCCGTGCCTCTGGGCACAGCTCTGAGACTGTCCACCCACTGGCATCTCCTGGTGGTGCCTGCTGTCCACTCACACTGCCCTGTTTCCCAAACAAGAGTCCTGAGGCTGGGGTCCTGTGGCCAATCAAGGGGTGAGCTTGGCTCTATCAGGGTGACTCACAGGACGCGCGGCCCCTGGCCACTCCATCGAGCTGACAGCACAGCCAACACCATCTGACTGACGTTTTCTTAGCAATCCTTAGAGACCAAGGGCGAGATGGAGTGGCCAGCAGAGGTGGTGAAGGGCCAAGTCAGAGCTGACAGGCTGAATTACAGAGAACGTTACATTTTCCCAGGATGGATTGTAATTCCTGAGGCAGAGGCAGGAGGTGCTGTGATAAAACCGGAGCAGCCCCACCTGTGCCCTGGTCTGGAGTCCTCCCCATGCCAGCCTGGAAGGGGATGGGGCTGAGGGTGTCTCCCTCACCGGCCTGCCAAGTTCCTGGCCAAGACTCAGCTGTGGGTCCTGAGAGGCCCCGGGTGTGAAGGGGCCAGACCCCTGCATGTGAGCTCTGAGGGCCTTTTCCTGGGGCCCCTAAGTCCTTGGCGATCTGCAGTCTAACAGTCCCTACCAGATGCTCCCCTGCACCTTGTCCCCAAGCAGGCCACAAAGGACAGGTCAGTGAGTCCGGCAGCAATCCTCTGCACTCGGGCCACCATCCTGAGCCCTGAGCTCTGTGTGTGTGTCACTGTGCCCAGACCCCACAAACCCCATGCGTGGTCACTGGCTGGTCACAGAAGTTTCACAAAGATGCAGGATGTGTGGGTGTTTGGCCATTCTGCGAGAGCTCACGCATCCCAGCCCCTGCCCAGCAATGTGAGGGTCAGGGCCCTGTCCACCATCACACCCCAGCCTACTCCCCAGAATGTGACTTCGTCCCGAGCCCCAGGCATTCAGCCACCTCGGGCATTCAAGCGCCTGTATCTTCATCTCAGTGATTTGGGAGCACACCCTCCTGTTTGCTTCTCACTTCCTTTCTGTCCTTTTCACTCTAAGGTCAGCCTCGGGGACTTTGACTCTTCTTCGTAAAATTCAGATACGGTTGGTTATGCTCCCAGGAGCTGCTGCTGGTCTTCAATCCAGACCCTGGAATGCTCAGAAAACAGTGGGCACTGCATGACGCTAATGCTGGGCCTTCATGTCCACCACTCTCACTCTGCCAGCCTCTGGTCCTGCTGGCACAAGGGCACCTGTGCCAGCCCGTGGCCACACCGCCTCCTGTGTGATGCAGCTGAGCGGGCATGTAACCAACTTGGTCAACAGACAAGGGACATGCCAACCCGGGGGCTGCTGGCCCAGTGCAGAGCCCCAGTGGCTGTGGCCTAGGATCCCCTGGGGAGAGGTGGGGTGGGGCAGGACCCTTAGACTTCCCCACCCTGAACCACAGCAGAGATCCCAGCAGAGCAGGCACCCTCCACACCTCTCCCAAACCCAACGGGTGGCTGTCTCACCCCTGTGACGGCCAGTCAGTGATGACGGTGAACTCTGGAGAATCCTCCTGTGGGTGTGTGGGTGAGTGGGACCTGCAGTCCAGGGCAACCCCAAGAAGCCTTCTCCAGTCCTATCCCCCACATGCCAGGCCCCAACTTCAGTGCATTGGGCACCTACCAGCTTCAGTCAGCCCCTCTCCCCCAACTCTGCTGCCCCCTAGACTGGGGCCCCAAGGGTGTGGTTAGTTTCACTGATGTTAAAGATGGTGGGTGGGAATGCCCCCTGTAAGTATGGCCCCAGGGACCAGCTTTAGAAACCAGGACAGACTTAAGACCAAGGGGCTTGTGGACTCTGTGGGCCCCAGAGCCTCTGAGCACTATGTATCCTTCACCGGTGCTGGTCTGCTGGCAGGAGGAGGTTAGCGCTGCTGAGGGGACAGTGCGTGGGGAGGGGTGAGGGAGCCAGGAATGTGTATACAAGACTAGGGGTCTGAGGGTTCGCTCCCCCAGGGAAACGGCTGGACGTCCTCAGCCCGGATGCCCTCCCTCCCCCAGACACCCTGAAGTCTCAGTGTTGTGAGGCCCAGTGACCCAGGGAACCTCCCTCCGGTCCAGGGGGACCCCACCTCACCTTCGTCCCTCTCGGCCCTCCCCGCTCTACACAGCGTGTCCAGCAGAGGGCGAGAGGGGGCGGGATGTCCGCGGCCAGCATTCGCGCAGTCGGGTCGGGAGGCTGCCCGAGCGCCCGCGTTTGGCAGCGGGTGGGGGGGTCAGGGAGAGTCTCCTTCTCAAAGTCAGCCATCTCAGAGGCCCGCTCCACAGCCAACCTGTCCCCTTACCTCCAGTGGGGCGCGGGAGCTGGGGGCCCTCCGGACCAGGGTCCCCACCCCAAATGCCCTCATCCCTGGAGCTGAGGGGCAGCAGCTGTGGGTGCCGAAGTTTTGCTGTCTCGGAGCAGCTGCTGACCAGTCCCCTGTCCAGGGCACCTCTGGCCTCCGGGTCCCGCCTCAGAAGCGCGGTGACATCGCGCCAGTGGGCACGGTCCCCGCAAAGCGCATCTGGAGGGGCCTGGCTCCCCAGGGTGCAGTCAGGTCTCTGGGGTTCAAACTCCTTCCCCTCCCCGCCCTGCCCAGGGTTCCTTCCGCAGGGACACTGTCGCAGCGCCCCTCACAGGCCTGCTCGTCCGCGTGAGCGCCCTTGAGAGCCGTCCCGCGCAGGGCCACGACGGACGGACAGCTGCGTCCTCGCTCGCCGTCTCCTGTTGTCCAGGTGGGCAGCACTCTTAGTGGAAGGTCGAGAGGTGGCTTTCGCTACTGTCTGTCCCCAAGCCGAGGAGGGCGTCCCGGGCGCCGCTGGCGGTGCCTCCGAGGGATGGAGCCGGACCGGGCGGCGTAGGGAGCGCAGGTTACCTCTCTGATGGCCAGCAGGCGGCGGGGCGATGGCCCCCTCCACCCGGCACCCTCACGCTCCGTGGCCACCCCTCCTACACCCTCAATCTTGTCTTCATCTGTACCTCCCATCTGGAGCCTCCTGGACCCTAGCCCCATCCCTCAATCCCGGACCCCAGCTCACCCCAATTTACGGCCGCCCCGCGAGCTCCACGCCAGAGAGCTGCGCGCTGCAGTTGGTGCAGGCTACAGGGGCGCTGCGTACCCCACACCCTAACCAAAGCCTGGAGAGGCCGGGCGAGTCACCCCAGAACCTGCCGAATGGCCCCGCCCAGCCTCCTTGCCTCTTCAGCCACGCCCCTTCCCGTCTTCCGACACCGCCTCGTCCCCCACACCTCTGTCTCTGTCCCAGGGGGAGTCCCGAGGAGCCCAGACCATGCCCCAGGGTCCGTCTGGCGCCCCGGCCTGGTGCTCGGACGCGCCGCGTTTTCTCCGTCTCAGTGGTGCGCGGAGAAGTCTGGGGACGATAGGTCCTCCTGGCACCCGGTCTCCTTGTCCCCCCATGGGGGCGGGGGCAGGCGGGTCTCAGCGTGTGGCTGACCCTGGCCCACAGCAACCCAAGACTTCCAGAGCCAGTGTGTTCCATGCGACACGCTGGTTCCGCTCTGGCCAGTCGTCTGTAGAGCCGCCAGGATCCCGAGGGAAGCCAGGAGGGAGGAAACCCCAAGCGCACAGCTCCGAGCAAAGGCCCTCGCCTCACCGAGATTGCGCGCCTCGCCTAAGAATTGGGCCTATTCCACCAGCTCTGACACCCAGCACCTAAGCGCACGGCTAGCGCGGAGGGCCTGCCCAGTTCGGCGGGGAGGTGGGTGCCTGCAAGCGGAGGCCTCAAGCCTGGATCCGACCAGAACGGCCACCTGAGTGGGCGCCTGGACAAACCGTCTTGCTGCCTGCACAAAACGGAAACGAGGCCCCGCTGAGAGTGGGGGGCCCAGGAGTAGGGCAGAGAGTTGGGGGACCTAGGCGCGGGGCAGAGAGTTGGAGGGCCCAGGCGCGGGGCAGAGAGTGGGGGGCCCAGGAGTAGGGCAAAGAGTGGGGGGTCCAGTCGCTGGTCATTGCCTGGAGAGGCGAGGGTCCCCTTTGTCCATGGCAGAGAGACCCTGGTGGTCAGGGTGAAACAGAGTTCTCGTCGATGCCCCTGAAGCCCACGAGGGAAGGCTTTCAGGCTTCAAGAGGACGGTCATTTTACACCTTCAGGTCCAGGCACCAAGAAGGAGGGGACAGCCTGGTACCTAGGATTTGAGAGCTGAGCTGCCAGCACAAAGAAAGGTTACAAGTCCAAATCCACCACCTTCTCTGTAGAGGAAGATGAGCAGTCTCCTCCTACGAGATATGCAACCTCGGAAATCTACTGAAGGGTCAGCGTTGAGTCAGTTCTGACAACAGTATTAGTAAACTGGCCACAAGGTGCTTGTGACCATGGCCAGCAGCTCCTGTCAGCCACGGACCACCACACCTCACATGAGGCCCCACTCAGTTCTGCAAAGGCGGACCCTTTGTACCCAGCAGTGGGGGCCAGGAGGTCCAAAGACATTTTAAAGGCCGTTCCTTGGACAGATGCAGAAAATTTTGATAGGTGGAAAAAGATCGGCATTGCTAAGGGTTTCATTTACCAGATTCACAATCAACACCTAGCAGAAGTCAAGAAATCAAAAGACTGTTTCAGTGGGGAAATCTGCTGTCAGTGACCTCTCCAAAGTTCTAAAGAGCAACACTGTCCATTTAAAGACTAAGGTGCACCGGAACCAAGCCATATGTGATCTTTTCAATTGCTTCCTCTGCATCTGAAAGTTGGACTGTGAATAAGGATCACACAGAATTGATGCCTTTGCAGAGTGGTGTTGGAGAAGAGTCGTCAACTGCGGAATACCACACAGCCCCGTTTTGGAGGAAGTGCAACCAGGACGCTCTGAGAGGGGAGGAGACTAAGCTCTGTCTCACTCTGGGACAAGGGCCTGTGGCCTGTTGTCCGGAGGAACAGACCTTGGAAAAAGGCCTCATGCTGGGGAAGGTGGAGAGTTCGAAGAAGTGAAGCTGACCCTCACCAAGGGGGGCTGACATGGTGACTGTAGCCTTCGGGGTGGGGGTGGGGGGTGTGGTGTCCAGTGCACTCTGCTCTGCGTGCTGGCTTGTGGGGACCAAACAACTCGTGCTACGCTGCAAAGTTGACCCTGAGCTGCCCCAAGTGAAGACTGCTCACTGCCAGAATCAGGTGTTTTGTGAGTCCCGACCCGATGGGGTTCGTTCCCTAGCTCTCTCCTGATCTGGCCTCGAGCTTGGAGAGAGAACAAAAAAGGGCTCAGGTAGCCTCCAGGGAACCAAGCTGCGCCTTCACCACCAGGAAACGCTCCCCCGCCCCCACTGCAGGCTCAGGCCCTTCCGCACCGACCAGGGCCCTGGGTGGGTGGGTGGGGGACGACTTAAATGCATCCCGAGTGCGTGGATCTTGTGTGGCATGTTCTGCGGAGGCCACGGTGTAACCTGAAGATCAAGCAAGAAGCGAATTCATGCGGGCAAGTTTGGAGCTCAGCTTCCTCCCCTACCTGGGGCCTGGAACCCCGCCGTCGGGTTGGGCAGAAAAGCATTACCTGGCTGCGCAAGGACGAGGATTGAGGCCCTGGAGGTGGGGCGAGGGGAGGCCCACGACCCGCACCGCGCATCAGGCAGTGTCTTCCCGGGCCACCGCCCACACCGCACCGGGGCAGATGTTCAAATCTGCATGATTTCTGGCCGTAACACATGTTCTCGCGTTTTCTTCCTGATTTCCTATTAAAAGCTTTGCCTAACTAAATTCCCATCCAGGGGGATTTATATCATCCCCAGGGAGATAAATCAGGGGGCAAATTTACAGCCCGGGAGGCACCCGCGGCGCTAATGGGCCCTTCATGGAGTGCCGAGCAGCGCGGGGCGCGCGCGCAGACGGGCCGGCCGCGGGCCAATGGCCGGACCGCGGACGCCGGCGGCCAATCA